GATAGTGTCGAGCAAAAGGATTGCCTCCTCATAGCCAAGCATATAATGTAAGTAAACAGTGAACTTTCATGGACCCAACGTCAAAACTCCAGCGAAATATCATGATAATGATGATAGATAATAAGTTCGATTTGTGCTGCGTGGAGTATGAAAAGACATCGGTACACGGAGCAGACCGTCGCAGGTGCCAACGGTGGCAGACAGACTTTTCGCGTTGTGCACAAGTTCTGATATACTTAGCTATAGCATGCTGCTAGAGTCGTTTACTAACAAGTGTGTGGTTGATAAACGTGTTGAAATGATTGCACTCTGTTCAACCAACCCCACCATCCTGTTCACCAACACTGTTAGAGTCTTCGACAGCTTCAAAGGTAGCGTTTTTGGAAATTTGCTAAGCTATTACGTTATGAAGCCCACCTCAAAGGTAGTGACATTCAACACTAAGAGTTCCAATGTCATGAAGGATAAAAGTTAAAGGTAAAATCTCAGGGTCATTTTATTTGCATCCTGAGAATAGGATTTGCTACCACTCATATTATGTGATTCAATGAAAAAGAAAATGTACTTAGTTCTTATTCCTGTAAGTTTGTTTGTTTTTGTTTGATTGGTGTTGAATGTTGGGCTTTGAATATTATGTTTTCTGTTACTGTTTCTGTGAATTGTCTGGTAGTCAATTGATGTTTCCTGATGTTCAAGTGTTTTTGGGACATACGCCACTCTGTCAGAAGTTCTGTGGACATTCGCCTCTTTGTCAAACTGGTTCTTGGACATACTCCAGTCTGTCAAAATATCCATGGACATTCGCCTCTTTGTCAAGCTGGTTCTTGGACACTCGCCACTCTGTCAAAATTTCTGTGGACATTCGCCTCTTTGTCACATTTTATTTCAACATGAAATTGGCGAATGTCCCTTATCTCCTCTGCTATGCATGTTAACCACACAGGGTAACAATCAAAATGTAACATATCAAAAAAAAATTAAAAGTTCAATATTTCAAATTTACAGATGTAGGTTGAAAATTCTATCTTGCAGATCAATTATAAACCTAGTTTTGCCTCTCCTGGAAATTTTTTATTTTTGGACATACGCCACTTTGTCGAAATTTGCCTGAACACTGTTAAAAATTTTTCTCTTAAATTTAATAACATTTTTGTGAAGCATTAACACTAACATTGTTATTAAATTTAATAACAAAAATGTTATGAA